GGCCAGCCCATCTTTATCCAGCTCCACCACTTGCCAATTGGCTTCTCCAGCTTATTGCCCCCAGAAGGACTTTTCCCAAACTTGCCAACCTTAGGATCTCGGCAGCAGCAAAGGAGACCGCCCGCAGCCTTCCCAAGAGGACACTAATTCCCCACCGCTCGGTGTTGCACACTTCTCCAGTGCTCCTGCCCGTCATGGTGCCACTACAGCCCTCCGGCAGCAGCTCTAATCCCTCCTGATGGGTCCCTGGGCCAAGAAGATGGAGACAGAGTTGCCTTTGGAGAAGGAGAGCCTCTGGTCTGCCAAGAGGTGGTGAGGTCCTGTTGGGGCAGCGCGTTAAGCTGTCACCCGCTGCCGGGAGTCTGGAGCATCCTCTCTGCTGCGCGCCGATTAGCCTCCTCTGCCTGGCAGCAGGGGTGCAGGACATATCACCGTGCAGCACTAGCAGGAGGTGGGACCACTTCCACCGCTTTGCCACCCAGAAGGTGGGGTTTTCTTGAGGACACCTTACCTTTGGGCTAGGGCTCCCCGGCTCTGCTCCCGCAGATGGCTCAGGCAGCAACCAGCCCTCCACAGGGCCCCGCAGCACAGGAGACGGCCGTGCACCGCCAGTCTAAACCACTGCTGCCAGCAGCAGCTGCTCAGCATCTTTTAAGCAAGTCCTGTTCCCCCTCTGGGAGTTGGCTCTGCCACCCCTTCCCAAACTGCAGCTGGAGCCGCACAAGGCACCCTGTCCTGGGGGCTGCCTGAACCCCTCACGCAGGCACCATGCCCCCGCTGCAGCTGCCAGCGTCCCCGCTGCTGTTCGGCTAAGCCCCTTGCTCCCCCATCGTGCCCCCTCGCCCCCACAGGCATTCACGTAAGCAGGAGCTGCGCCCCAGCCTCGTGACCTTGCCGAGGCGCTTGTCCTCCTGCAGCGCCATGGTGCGACACCCTCTCGGGGTCCAGCCCTGGAGGTGAAGCCGTACGGAAAGTCCTTAGGCACGCAGGGTGGCCAAAGCCCCAGGCCTGGTCTGGTCCTCGCTACGCCCCAGCCTGTCATTTCTTGGTGGGTACACACTAAACGACGACCATTAATGTACATGGTGCCACGTACCACTGCAGAGCGAGAGCCCGCGGCAGGGTCCGGCCCACCAAGCCATGCAGGAGCTGCCAAGCAGAAGCATGGCAGAAGGAAACAAGCACTGGTCACACGAAGGGCCTCTCCAGCGACATCTCCGACTGTACCCCAAGGATGCCGTGCAGCGAGGACAGGCAGTCCTGAGGTAACGAGCGAAATGGCAGCATTTAACAGGACACTGCTGCAGAGAAACAAAGAAATCCTGTCTGTGCAGCTCCTTAGACCCTGCAAAAAGCTGTGGGACTCTGATTTGAAAGCTACATGCGGCTCACAAGACACGCAGAGCTGAGGGCCAGCTGCAAGAGGTGCTCTTCAGCCACAGACGCTGCTGACTGGAAGAGGACTTTGGGGTGCTTAGCCACGGACAGAGCGGGCCGCAGGCTGGCTCGCCGGCACGCGCTGGGGCCCAGGTAAAGGCCCCCTCCTGCAGAGCGCAGGGCTGGGCAGTAGCTGGGAACCACAGAGTTCAGCTCACAGCAAGAAAGCCCGTGGAGAAAGCACAAACCCGAAGAAATCAACAAATGTACTTTTTCATTTTGTTGCTAAAATCCCTACCATAAATCTCACCAGAGAGGAAGTTTCTGTTTCTCCAGCTTCCTACTCAGTGTCCTTGAGAAAACAAATGACACCACACTCAAAAAAAAAAAAAAATCCCGTAGTGGTTTACTTCGCACTTCCCTGTACCTTGTTATGCTGAGTGCTTCATTTAGAGAAGGCTGACCTCCCCCAGCCTTCTCCATCCCAGTGCCCTTCGCTGCGGGGACACACCAAGGAACAGGTTTAGCACTGGAGAGAGGAGCCGGGTGGATGTTCCGGCGCAGGTAACCCTGCCGACTCAGCATCCCAAAGGTGCGCGGAGAGTCAGCGTGACAGCGACTGCTGTCTGAGAGGTGATTTTCACAGGAGATATAGGAGCTGTGCTACAAGCACAGAAGCTGTGAATACAGCCATTAAAAACGAACAAAGTTATGCCCCTCGTATTTCTCTAGATACAATTTCTTCCGTAGGTCTGGGCAGCAATTCTACCCAGTGCGCACCTTCAAACATTTTGTCTCCCAGTTTTTCTTAGTAAGACACAAAAAACATTACAGAGTGGTTCAACAGGGTGCGATGAATTACCACTTTGAGATGTCCTAAGTGTGTTATCTGCCTTACCTGAACACCCGCAGGAGAATAGGAAAATCTATAGGTTTATTTTCCTGTGTTTTACATAGACTGTCACTAATTCCTGTAAACAAAACGACACTGATCTGTTTTGCTATCAGCCATTAGGTGTAACAGAAGGAAGGTGGAATGGACTTTGCACTACTTAACAGTCAGCAAAATAGAGATGTGCACCACAGGGCTTCATAAGAGGCACCAAAATGAAGATATCTAGAACATTTCAAGTCATAAAAGCCAAGGACAAAAAGCATCGATTAGGTAGGAAGGATTGTCTTCAAGAACTAAATGTAAAGTTCAGAAACCCAAGGTCTGAATTAGGCTTGAAAGGTTTTGTTTATTAAAGGAATACATGTAAACACCAATACAACATAATGCATGTTAAAAGGGGGAAAAAAAAAAGATAGAAGCAGGATTTTTTTGTGCAATTAACTCCAGACTGTGCTTCCTTTAGCAAAACCATTATCTGAGTCGTGGTAAGGTTACGAAAACCTGTAGCATCTCAAAGGTTCATTTCTGGCAAGCCATCTTGCCAAGTGCTCCATTCCTTCTAGTCTCCGCGATCTAGATTTCCTCATTACTAACATACTTGAAAAAGAAATAGTTCTGTGTCATTAACTAAACCAAATGCTTTGCAGTGAGAATGTCTGGTCATCTGGTTTCTGTAGAACAGCGTTTTCCTTCTGCTGCTCACAGAAACCAGCTTGTGCTCCTGTGCTATCTTATCCTGCTTTTACTTGCAACCGGCACACGGACACAACCTGAACAAGAATGCATTTTAAAGTAACATGGAAAATTTTTTTTTTACAGTTATCGACAGGCAAATGCAATGGGACGGATCAACACGGGCAACGACATTATCTGGTGGCTGGGCTAGAGAGCCCCAGGGATGGAGTCAGGTGGCCGAGGGAAGGGAGGCTTCCCTTGAGCAACGAGCCCTCTCCAAAGTCACAGCCAGGGCAGTGCTGGAAGGAAGCTCTGGATCAGCTTGGTCTCCGCATTAGAGATTTCCGACCCGCTCGGCGCAGGAAGTTGTTCCTGTGGCTCACCTGAGGGAGTTCCTGTTATGAAGCCAGAGGGTGGTAGGTTGAAACACAGTTTCTGAGAGTGATGTAATCTTGGACAGCACTCCGTAGGCAGTGATACTAGTGACCTGGTTACAACTGTGGTGTTGTTACAGCCCCTCTGCTGGCCTGGTGATCACAAGAAAGGGAAGAAAGAAAAAAAGAGGGGAGTGGAATAATTTAAAAAGGAAAAAAAGTTTCCAGATTTCCTTTGTTTAAGTGAAGCATTTTCCTTTTCCACTTTATTTGAATACACCGACCTGGTGTCTAACAGATGGAGACTGTGCAGATGCACTTTTGGGAGTGCCCATAAAACAGACTGCTAAAATACAAATGGAGGGATACTTTTTTTTTTTTTTTTGAGTTGTAAATTCAATAATCATTGCTGTCACCTCACTTTCCCAAAGGAATCTGCCCTTTGTTCTCCGGATAAAGCTGGGGAGAAGAAGAAAAAGGAAAAAAAAAAGAGAGCAAAGGGAACATTTAGGAAATAAAACCACAGATCCATAATCTGTACAAGCATCGCAGCATACAGCATTTGTACGTCAGGAACCCATACAAGCATGGCTGCTTAGCAGCAACAGCAGCGCACAGCAAAATATTCTGCATGTCTTATATTCTTCTCCCATTCTCCAGACCTTTCTAACAAACAGGTCAGCTAATTGGCTCACGCCCAAGTCTTAGCCACTAGGGCTTGCTCAGAGATGTAACTTAGTCATTTGGCATAAGCAAATCCCAGGCTTCTTCCTCTTTGAGCAGCGGAGTGGGTGAAGGCTTTCTTTGATTTATTAAGACTATTAACAAACAAACAGGGGAGTTCAGAAGCTTCCTCAAGCAGAAGAGCACAAGCAGAACGGGTTTTTCCTGAAGTAGCAGCTAAAAATAGGACACTTAGAGGAAGTAAAGTTCATTAAGTGATAAAGTGGTGGCTGTAGTGATGAGGGAAGAGTTTTTCCTTTTTTAATCTATACACTTATTTAGCGTAATGTTTTCTTGCTCCTTATTAGAGTGCTAAAGCAGTGTTTACCCGGCTGAGGAAAAGAAGATTTCCCTTTCTGTAGTGACTTCAACATGTAGCTCATCAAATACAACGGAGTCAAGAGCTTTAAACAGACATTGCCAGCCAACAAAGTACAACATTTGACAGCATTATTTGTTGTTTATATGCTCTTTCCACAGTGGGAAATGATATGCCATTTTCAAGACACATTCCACAGTATTATGCAACAGCTTTCTTAATTTTTAATGGATATATTATTTTTAACGTATCAACTTTTGCATAAAGCATTTTAGTATTTTATTCAGCATATACCATTAATAAATTATTTGCTCCTTCGTCCCCCCCGCCCTCCCAGAGCTGCACTTAGCATAGGGAAATGGTCTATTGACACTATAAAAGATACTTTCAACTGGCACAGTCTATAGACACTTCCATCATCAGACAAAGCACCAGGAGCACATTCCTGTATCTACTTAGTCAACAAGCTGGCAGTGCTAAACATGCTGCCCAGGAGTTTCATCTCAAACCTCCCTTTGGTGAAAAGACTTACACACACATAGCAACCAGTTGCCATCAAAACAAGCTAGCCCCCTGTACAACCAGTGATTCCTGTTAAAAGTGTTCACTTTGGGCCTGATTGCTCCAGCGTCCTTTAGTCATCACGTCCAAATGGTTTGGGACATCCAAAGGAAGCAAGTCAGGGTGCTTCTGTGCCAGAGAAACTTGTCCGCTTGACCTGAGTTTGTTCAGAGGGCATGCATCTCTCATCTCAGCAGATCTGCCCATTCTATAAGGGCAAAAAATGGATGAGATTTGATGTCTTCAACTCCAGCAACACCAGCACCAAGACGCTCCGCAGGATTAAACTGCAAAAGCTTGATATAAAAAGAAAAAAATATATATGATTCAGTGAGTAAGAACAAAAACAACTGCTTAAAAGTTCCAGAAAGGTCTAAGGTAAGGGACATCCTACCGTTTTCTTGCTCTATGAATTACTTTCAAGAGTGTGAAAGCATACTTGAAATTCCTAAAAATCTAGTAAATGGAAGAAGACTCTCCTTTCCTTGAGTCTCAGTGTTACAGTCTTCAGAGACTACTGATCACAGCATGCAATTCCCTGAAGCACTGCTCACTGGGACTTCATTTTAAGTGTAACCTCATTTTAAAAAAAAGAGAGCAGCAGCCACAGAGCCTGCAGTGGTAGAACTCTGGACACTGCGCTTGCTTCATGTTAATCTTTGCTCACACCACTGCGTTATGGCTACATCGGGGACAGTGGTCTGTAACTTTCCGTTTCATAAATTGTGAGTTGGTCCTAAAATACCAGGATATTACAGCCAGTTCTCTATTTCCTAAAAAAAAAAAAAAAAAAAAGTTTTAGAGAGTCCTACAAATGGCCTAAAACTTAAAAATCGAAACCTCAGTGAAAGAAACAAAACAGTGTAATGGCTTCATGGAAATTTCCTAAAATTCAGCACCTCGTTTGTTTTTTAGTTGTACATCACATGCTGAATTCATGTAAAAAGGAAATCACAATATTTACATCTGTTTAAAGATACCAATCCATATAAAAGGGAATGCAAAGCTAATACTCCAAAAAGAGTAATAAAGACACACAAAAATATTTTGCAGTTTTAGAGAACTGTTTATACTCTATTCAGTTACAGCCAGTACAAAGGCATGATTTCTTTCTTGCTTTTCCTGCAACAGCTAATAGGATAACTTCTCCCAGTTGTCACTTGGAACAATGTGTATTCATATCTTAATGCACTCAACATCTAAGTGAGTCTACATCCATAAACATAGGAATTTACACATTTTAAGATGCCTCTGCTATTTGCAGTCATAATGTCACATAGTAAAGGCAGCTTGGTGACAGTGAATAGTGCTGCTCTGATACCTTCCACAAGCCAGCAGAAACAGATGCAGCCAGGGTCTCTCTGCCTTCTGCTGAAATACAACCAGCACCAGCAGGGGGAAAGGAAGCATGGACACTTATTTTCTGGAGCCTGTCACTCCAGAAGAACTTTAATCTTAGAAAGCAGATGCAACACAAACTGCAACAAATACCTATTGAAAAGTCATGTTGCATATTTTTTTGGTAGTAAAGCCTGGAGGTGCCTGAAAAAAATACTGGGTGAAAAATACCAAATCAACATGAAAATAACAACTTCATCAACAGATCTCTGTTTTCTTAGAAGCTGGCTAAATGAAGGAGGTGTTTACAATGAAGTCACCTGCACTGGAAGCCACAGCAGGAGACAACGTCTGACACAGTTTTCTGTATAGTTGAACATTGATCCCGGAGAGTTACTCTGTGATGCTTTGACCTGTTTACCCTTGGCAGTGGGGGGAAGGAAAGTCGCAATGACAAATTGCTATCCATGCCAAGAGAGCTTTCTTCCTTTTCCTGACAAGGTTTCCTCAACAATGAATGGCAGCTTCCTTGGACAGTCACACAACAAAAATGTGATTTACTAGCTCATATAGCCGAAACTCCACCAGATAAGTCACCACCCTACACCAGAAGGCTTAACCTAACAGGCACTGGGGTGACTGTTCTCTGAACAGATATGGCCTTGTAATATATCTGCGAGTGGCAGAGATATATTTGCCACTTAAACCGCAAGTAGCAAAAGAGCCACTCTTTGGCATACTTAAAAATAGGCAATACATTAGTCTGCAGTGAAGAACAATCCTATGTTGGCAGGGAGAAGTGGACTGGATGACTTCATTTGTCTTCACTTCTAGTCTTAATGGGAGGACTTCCCTTCATCAAGTGTGGTTTTGCTTTCCCTTAGCCATCTGAGTCCTGTAGCACCTGTGGGTGAGGGTAACAATTTGCTACCATCTAACAATATAAATGCCGATTATACAAAAATGGGATTTTTCTTTAGTCACCTCCCTTTCTACCTTTGCCAGAAACACACAGACACATGCTTTCACCTTCAGTGACTTCATGTCACCTAGTCAAAATAGGAGGTCCAAACGTCTAGTTCCACTTCCATTAATCGTTTCACAGTAATGGCACAGAAGTCAATCTGTCACTGGGTCTTTTGACTCACTGAATTTTCAAAATCTCTTTCCTTCGTTTTCTTCAAGAACTATTTTTTCCACTCTGCTCGTTCAAATCTACATCTAAGTGATGTTATTATTTATGCATCTACTAGCAAAGCCGAACAACACAGTTCACATATATCACTTATTCTACTCAAGTGGAATAGGTCAGATCCAGGCTCCGCTTCCTCAGGTCAAAATTAACTCGTAGGAAGATAGCATTACATGAAATTCAAGACCCTGTACTACAAGTTTATTCTCTCAGTCATGACTACCTAAAGCTAAGAGTAAACTAAAACCAGCAGTCAATACTATTCCCATTAGTTTGAAAATGGTGTTATCAGTCTGGAAGGTTGTCTGTATTTTAAGGTTTCCTACTCTGCATTTAGTCTGACATACCAGTTATCTTCTTATTACAAAAGTCATTGTATTCACAATTTTTAAAAGTACTTTTTTTAACAAATGGCATCCAGAAGGTTTCCTGAAGGACAGCTACAGATTTTCAACCACAGCAAGGTCATAACTTCTAATCTGTGTGTTACAGGTTCCATAGTACTTAGAGCTATCTTGCTGAATTGGCATCAACATTTTTTAGTTTAATTCAATTCATTACAAATGTTTCCATGAACATTTAGGGCAGAATTCCTAAAATGTTCATGCATCACCAGCAGGTGTTTCCAAAGCACTCAGCATTGACCAAACTTGTTCTCTGAAGAAATGGCAAAGCACTCCGGTTTTCTACAGAGACACCTGGCAGCAGAAGTCAAAGTTTCCAGATGCAACAAGACAGCTGGGAAAAATTCATCACTGCTGACAAAAGACCCATCCCCGTTCCTATCAGCAGCTTTCTGTTTTTACATTTCCTTACCAGAACAACTTAGGTAGGTAAGTATTTGTCAAGACTACACATGTACCTATAGAAAACAAATTTTCCCTTCAATTACCTGCTGAATCAGTGATCGGGCCTCCTTTGATACATGGTCTGGTATACTCAAAGAAGTGTGAGTGTTTATTCCTGATGGATGGCACTCAACCAGAGTCTGGAGAAGAAAAAAGAAAAATTAAATTAAAAAAAAAAATCAAAGCAGGCAGATATATTTATTAATTAAAAAATTGTAGTGTTGGATTATCTCCTAGTATACATGCAAATTAACACACACAGCTAAAATTTCAGTGCTTCCTAGTATGAAGTACTGATTCTGGGAGGAATGTCTACAGGCACTGATGTCCCCCTGGAGATATGGTTTTAGAACATTTACATCTCAGTGCTTGTGCTCTATTGCTCAAACTTGAAGAGTCGGGGAATTTAGTGGACTTTGCTTTCTTTGTGCAGAACTAATCACCAGTTTGAGTTGGCTGAGCCGAATTAATGTGTAATAGCCACATATGGTTTCTACACTGTCCCAGGAAACAAACTGAAACTATTAGGGCAAAAATTTTGTAAACGTACAGAAGGAATGTTAGGGAACTTTGATTTCACTGTGGTTAAAAGGGCAGCATGGTTTTTGGTTATTTTTTCAGTCCTGAGTTTGATACGGCTTTATCAAGTTGTTCTGATGAAGCTTGAGCATGTTTCGTTTCTCTGGTCCCATGCAGACCAAGCAAATCGAGGGTACTCAGGTCGGCAAAGCCCATCCGAGAAGGACAAGCAGGGAGATCACAACTGGGCACACCACTTGTGAGAAACTACTGGCCAAGAGGTCAGTTTTATCGAGTAAGTTGCCCCCAGCCTTACCTTCCCGGTGAGGAGTTCAAAAAGAATGGCACCCAGGCTCCACCAGTCACAGGCTTCTGTCTCTTCTAGGATAGCACCAACCTCTAAACACGAGACATTTCAATTAATATTAAAAAGGTCAGTTACACCTTCAAAATTAACATATATTTACAAGGTGACTGTTTAATGCTGACAGAACGTATACTAAATACCACAGAGCTTTCATTATGCCTGCAATTTAGTTAGCCCTTTAGCCACCTACAGATTGCATTGTTCAAACACAGCAACACTATACATTTCATCCATAATTTGCCTTTTCTGTGCATGCATAGGCATTTTCAAGACTTGTAGGCATTACAGTTAGGATTTTTCTACACTGGACTAAAACTGGACAGTGACAGACAGTGAAGCGAAACATATTTAGAGAATTTACCCTGAAGTAAAGAAAATTTACCCAGAAGTGCTGGACTGACCAGAGCGGCCTGAAGCATCCATAAAAGCAGCGCAAGGGAGGTTATAATAGTCTACCGCATATCTTAATTTTGTCTTAGAGGGCAGGATTCTCTCGTGGCTAACCCACACCCTTTGGCTGGGATCACCATGGGAGGCTTTTCACAATAGCCTCTCTTGTCTGTTGGGAACCAGACAGAGATGCTAAATCTACTTCACATAGCCTAACCACAGCCAGCAACTGTGTATTGCTACAGCTCAGCCCAAATCGTACCTGGGTACAAAAAGTTGTTTTCCCTAGCATCCGGCCAGCACCCAACGCTCTCTTATTGCTGTCCGTGCACAAGAGAAAGCGGAGAGGTGAGATGGGAGTTATAGAGTCCCTTGCCATATGCATTCACGTATTCAATAGCATGATGCATGCAAAAAACTTGGCTTTCACTGACTCAGGCTTTAAACTACAGAAATTATTAAATACAAACACACCACGCTGTCTGCTCTAAAACAGGCAGAAAAACAGATTGCAATGAAGATGAAATCTTCATTTTGACTGTCAAAAAAACGCAGAAGCTGCACTAAAATAGCTTTGGTGGCAAAAGCCACACCAGCTTCCCAGCAGAGGACAACAATTAGCATATAGTCACACAGTTGTTGCTGTGAAAAGCATTGTGGCATGTTCGAAAAATCTTGCTCATCATTTTATGGAGCTTAGCATGAGCATGGCCAAGGAGAACTACAGATGAGTCACACTCCAGGGTCAGTGAAAGGAAGGCGGTAGCCCCAGACCTCCCCAGAGGCAGAGATGCACACACGCTGAGCACGGGGATGTGCAGAGGGCTGCTCCCTCGGGCAGCTGCCACACAAGCTGGAAGACACTCAGCACCTTATGGGACTAGGCTGAGGTTGCTGTTGCAAGAGCAACAAGGAAGGATGGCTCAGACATTGTTTCTTTAGATAGGACATCCATCACATTGAAAAGTTTATTACAGTTAATGGCGTTTGAATGCCCAATACATCACTATAAGGGTGCCACACATTAGAATTTATTCTGTTCCTTACAGATTAATACTTCTATCAGTATCGAGAAACTTTTACAAAGATATAATGGCAGCCACATGAGGAACTGTATCAGCATAATTCCATGCATTTTTAAAATGTCTTAAGATCCCAGGCAAGCATCCAGATGAAGTTGAAATTATGGTAAATTGAGAGAATTTGTGTAAGAATCAAAATCTGATCTTGCAATTTAATTTTACGTCCCTTCAGAAAGGCAGACCTTCTAGGTAACTGTCCTTTAATAAAAGAAAAACAAAAAAAACCCAAACTCGGGCCTTTCCACACGAACCAGCTGGCGAAAGGTTTTCATAGCATCTCTCAGTAAAACCTACTGAATGGAAATGCCTCTCCAGTCTGACTGTGATTTCCTAGTGCTGTATGTTCCAATAATGTACATTCAAAAACAAGATAACATGAATGGAAAGTAAAATCTAAAAACAAATACTTTAGGCTTCTTTAGAGCGGAGTTTTCTTTCCCGTGTGGCTTTAAGCCTGTGGATATTCACGACTAAGAGAGCTTTCCTCCAAACAAATGAAGATTTTAATTTTTAAATTAAATTCCACACTTATTCCAGAATAAGGACAGTAAAGCCAAGAGTTTATTAAGATTGACTACTACATTCTCAGTTCCTATACTATCATTAACTTCCCCATATTGATACATCTTAAATTTTAGAATAAAGCCACAAACGGACGTCTTCCCCAAAGACATTCAGTGAGGATGGGCCTCTTGAATTGCAGCCCAATATAAAAAAATATTCTAAAGGTGAAAAAAAACCATCATTCTGAGCACAGGGAAAAGAAATATTACAAAAAATTCATTTCTGAGTTTTGGTATATTTCCTTTTACGTTGGCAATCACAGATGCTGATCCAGTTCTTTGAAGCATCAAAATTACGCTGCCTTCTTTCACAGAATCACACACTGCTCATTACAGGAAGTTGATGTAACCTCACTTACTTCACTGACGAAGAAAATGGACACAGAGTAAGAGTCAAAAAGTAAACTAGAGTCCATTTCTCCAAAACCCAAGCTCATATTTTCAACTGTAAGAACACTTTCAATATATGCCAAGTCAAAACAAATGTCATTGCAGATCTCTTAAGAGAACAGCACTGAACTCTTCCATCCACTTTTGACCATGACCAAAGTGACACAAGTGGGATAAATTGAGAACAGTCAAGTAACACAGATTTCTCTCTGGGCTGAAGGGCTCTGGCTGGGTTCTCATGCACACACCAGAATGCGTGACAAGTCATCTGAACCAACACAAAGCAGAAAATGGAAAACTGAACTGAGGGGAACATCTGAGTATCCTTTTTTACAAAAACTAAATTTTAGCTCAACTTTTCTCCTATTACCCCATGTCTGCTTTCCTGCTGCTTTCCCTAGGTCCTAAAGTTTCCTTACTTCAGATTAAAATAAATGTTTTCCTTAGGAAAAAAAAAAGAAAAAATCATTGTGAATAGTAACATAAACATGTGTTGTTTACATTCCCTTACTTCAAACAGGTCACATTACTTCTGATGCAATATGCTGATCATAATAAGTTCAGGATATCACATCAATATTACTGCATTTTATCTTGACTACGCATCATGGGAAAATCTAGAAACTACAGATTATGAAGTGCTTTCAAGCGATACAGAGTAGCTAGCTAATGTAATATACCACACAGGGCATATGCTTTTTTTAAAGCTTTAATATTGCAATAAATCTGAACTACAATATCTGCCTTCACTAAGAAAACATTTTCATCTCAATCCATCAGCAAAGTACTTTAGACAATAAATGGTAGCAACCCATAAGCTTAAGTGAATAACATAGGGATATTTGTGCCAATTCTTTACTTCATGAACCTTAAAATCAAGGACCTTATCCACATTTGTACAAATATAAACGTGCACACACATGTGCACGGTGTTGGTGTTTCTAGGACTAGCAGCACAAAATTTGCAGAAAAAAATATTCGTATCATTCTCCAACACAAAATCCTTTTACATTGGAGAAATAAAAAAGTAGGGTAAAAAAAAAAAATCAGTAGCTCTTCCAACTTTACTGCAACTTCATTAAAAGGGAGAGCTTTCTTCTTTCTCCCTTCTCGATGCATGCCCATACGACATCTAGCACCAAGTAGCACATGTCAACAGCAATGCTAAATTCCTGCACAGAAGCAATTTCAACAGCAGCCGTTGAGGTAACTGAAAGGAAGGAGATTTGTAAAACGCTGTCAGGTTCAGATAGAGACAGGTAAGGTAAACACCTTCACTACCCAGCACTGTCCTCCTTCCAGAGCAGCTGGTCTCAACTGAAAGGCCATTTCTTTACGGTTTCCATACTTATCTCAGTATTTGCATTATACACAGTAATACCTTACTTCCTGGTAAGGGATACGTAGCTGACAACGCTCTGTATTTTTAAACAGAAGCGCCGGTTCTAAAGAAAAAAAGCAGAACTTCACCTCTCTTGAACACACATCCTCGATAAAGTTATTAACGGCAACACCAAGGCTGATTTTCTCATTCTTTCTACAGCACCTTGACCTGAAATATACCCTTCATGCTGAAGGATTTCAAAGGCTTTTACTACCATACCTCAAACATTTTCTCCCAAATACAGTTTCCTCCAGGGCTGACAATAGGGCCTCCCAACCAGCACACACAAACACTAGCTAACATAAAAGAAGCCAGGCTTAAAGGTGGATTTAGACATTCACTGTGCAACCTATGTGTGCTTGTGAATCACCAAGAACAAAAACTCAACCAAAAACTTTGTAGGATAAACTGTAACATCCAAAAAAATGCATCTGAAGTCAGCTCACAAGAAAATAGGCTCTAGGTGGAAGTACTGCTTCTCCAAACACCTAAGAGTCAGGAAGGGCTTTGCATTGAGGTGGAATTAAGAAGTGAACCATTTGACTCTTGGTGGATTGATAAGAATTCAAAACCTGAGGGGGCCCTTTCCCTTACCCCGTGTTTCAAGCAGAAAGAGCATACCTTCAAGTGTCGTTTCTGCACTGGTAAGAAAACAAGGAGGCCCATCTGAACTACCATCAGGTGTCTGAAACTGTTCAGGAGGAAATGGACTTGTCCAACATCCTGAAAACATCAGACACAATGTTTTCCCCTTCTGTGGCCATTAAGATAAACAGTATTGCACGAAAAACCATTAGAGTCGCTTCGGAAATTCTATTTACCTTACACTCATTTAATTTTAAAAGCTTACTATTTTATCATATTTTAATATCTATATATGTAAAGAAGCATTTGCAGAGAACCAAGTAAAATGAGTCCAAGCTAATTTACTCTAGGCAGACTCAGTCAGCCAAGATATTGTAAGATACAGCCACTAAATAACACATCACACAAGCAATCTGGCCATAATGCTTTGCCTAAAATGCTTTAGCAATTTATAAAACACAGTATTGAACCATCTATAGTTAAGTATAAAAAGTTCATCATGGTCTTTAAACAATAAAGTAGTGAGGCACGTCCAATGAACATCTGCTAAGATCAAATGGAGTATGAAAATAGGAAGTTTCATCTTAAAGATATTCAAAAACATATGAACGTTTATGTTCATCTGTAGAAGAAATTTC